GGGAGATAGATGTTTGATAGGAACGAAGGAGCACACCACACCAGAGCACCCGACAACAACCCATACAACAGCAACAACAATAAAAACAGCACCAACAAAAAAAACAACCCAAAATGAGTCGAAATAGTCTAAGACACCTACACATTGTAGTGGAAAATAATGGTTCTCTTAGTATGTATGTAATAAATTATAAGGGCCGTGCTACTGATTGCAGACTTTGTCTTTAGGCCATTCCCAAGGGGGGGGGGGGGGGGGATATTTATCAACATGTTCTTATAATGCACAGTAGAATTGTGAATGGGCGGATTTATCATTGTCATGCTCATACTGTGCCGGAACAAGATAAAGGGAACTGCTGCTTTTTCTTTCTTCATTCTTACTATCGTCATTTTACCTCTACTTCTTTTGTATGTTTGTCACTCTCTTGTGAACTTGTCACTCTCTTGTGAATTGTTATTTCCAGGGTGCCTTGATAGTCGAAGCAGACTTTGTGCTGTTGAGCCTAGAGAGGTGAGCAGGGTAGGCCTGATTCACCGTTTAGACTTCTCTGTTGACATCTACCCCTTGGCGCTCATTTATGACCTTAAGCAGTTGCGAGCGCCGTAAAACCTTACTAAAAACTAAAACTTTGAAAAATCCAAACACAGTCGAAACTGCCTAAGACGGCCACACATTGTCGAGGAGAATAATGGTTGTCTTGGTCAAATGGACTTCTCACACAGTGCCATAAACGCTTTTTAAAAATGTGCAAGGGAGAATAAGGAAAATGGCCGTTTGTACAGGTGAACCGTCTTATACAGGTGGCCGTTAGAGCAGACTCGACTGCACTTCTACGACTACACCTGCCCGCACTTGCACCCAGAACGAACCAAACAGGACTCGAAACCACTTCTTCTACACGACAGGGCGGACACCTCACTGGCGGGCCACACCGAGAGCCCTCTCGCTGACGCTAATTACTGCACACTTTGGCTGGGCGCAAGGTTCCAGTTATGACCGAGGCAGCAATGAGCCTCACTTCAAAACAACACAGCTGCCTTTCCGCAAGCAGCTGCCATGATAATATGTGAGGCAGCGTGCTGGAATCAGGCTCTCGTCAAAATAACCAAAATGAAGAGACTTGCATTTTTTTCGCAGGTTTGTGAATTTTTATAAAAATTTTGGGGGGTTTTTTTGGCTCAAGACCTTTCATGCCCATTAAAGAATTCATTTCTTTGTGGATTTTTCTGAAAAATGTTTATTAAAGGCACAAAAAATGTAAACTTTCAGTTACCACGGACTCTTAAGCTAAGGAAATAACTGATCTTTGGCGGCCATTTCTCACAAAGTTTATCTCTGAAAATAGATGACCCCCATTTCCTTCATTCCCAAATACCTGGACTTGTATTCAAGATAAATGGATATTTTTTACTCCAAATAAAGACAAGTGAACAAGCTTTAAGATGATGCCAATAACTCTATATGCCCAAAAATTGACGAGAGCCTGATTCCAATACGCTACCTCACATATACTGCGGTAGTAGGCCTAATTATTGACGCCACTTTCACATTGTCAAATGACGGGACTGGGGAGAGCGAGGGAACAACAGAACGAGGAAGCCAGTAACGTTGACCCCACTCACCTCCCCCCCCCCCCTCCTCCTTTTTCCCTTCTCGTCCTCAAGCACCCCCATCTCCTTCCACACACACACACTCTCTCTCTCTCTCTCTCTCTCTCTCTCCTCTCGTTCTCATCCTCCCCTCCCCCCAGCCTCTTTTTTTTTCTTTCGTCTCGGTCTCGAGCCCCCTTTCCCATCAAACATCTATTGTCCTTATCTTTCCTCCTTCTGCTTTGGGAATGTTTCTCTCGTGTATCACATCTATTCTTCGACACTTATATGACTTGATTGTGTGTTGCGAGTGCCTTAAAAACTTTTACTAATCCTAACGTTCTGTCGGTGGCCATCTCCTCTGTCTGTCTTTGACCATCACCACTTTCGTTGACCATCTCCACATTCTGTCGTTGACATCTCCACGTTCTGTTGTTACCACAGG